GAAAGATCCTGCAAGGGTCTGGGAAAGAGTGTTTAGTTAAAGTTGGAGGGAAATTAAAAGAACCTGGTGAGTCTTGGACTCACATCTCAGAAGCCCTGGAAAGCACTCAAGATTTCACATGGGAGGAAATGACTGACTGTCCAATGTTGGTGAAAGGAGAACTGACACTAGATTATTCCCTAGAATAAGGTCACTGTCCCATTAGAACAGAGTCAGTCAGCCCCAAAAGTGAGTAAATCAGTGACCCTGCCTCATCTCCTGCAGATGCTAACAGCCTACAGGGCCACCATCTGCAGAATGTCTGTGGAACATTCTGATCAGTTACAACAGTTTTTAGTAATGATACTGCTTTGTGGGACATTCTCCCTTTTATTTTACAACACAATGTCAAATTCTATTTGCCCAAGATACAAATTGTTCAATTAATAGTGTGTTTTTCTAGCCAGGAGGGTGGAATTGAGGAATGATCTTTGAACAGCATGGCAGGAGGCTGAGGAAAAATGATGCTATTTAAATAGATTTTTTTCTTGTTTAATTAGAAAAGGTAATGAAGCTTATTGTTTCATTTTATTTTATGGGCAACAGTAACATGTATTTTTCAAAGGGGTGGGCCACATTTATAAAAGGAAGAGAATGAGGGAGAAAAATAATTCATCCAAAAATATTAATGATAAAATTAATATAATTAATAAATCATCAGAATCTGTATTTTTAGTTTTCTTGTCATTGTGGATGGCCCACACATTAGGTAAACATTTAGCTGATGAGGGTTTCTCAAAGTTTTGATGTTCATTAATGCTTCAAAAATTATTATCTCATTTTATAGGATAGAAGTATTTTCACTGAGGTTACTTGAAATAACAATCTCATTTGAAATAATACCCTCTAGATACCTGAGGTAATAAAGACACTAAGAAAACACACATTTCTGAGTCTGCCCTCAGTTTTCTGATTCCATGGATTTGGAGTAGAGTCTAGAATTTGCATTTCTAGCAAGTTCCTAGGTGATGCTGGTATGTCTGGCCTAGGAACCACACTGAGAACCACTGTTGGAAATCTGCACTCTTTTGCCCTGGTGAAAACGTCCATCTTCCTTGCTAAGCCTGATACTAAGCTTATCATGCACTCTCCGACTTGTCTCCTTGTCTACTCTCGTTTACTGACATCCCAGTCATCCCGTGCACGTACTCCCAGAAGATCTTTTGGCACTACAGGTAATAAAAAATATACGCATTGGTCTCCGCCCCTGGTTCCCGGCATAGAGCCCCTAAAACCCATGGAGATTTTCTAGTGATAAGAACACTAGGAGCATCTCTTGTTCTTGTATTTGTCTCTGACTCTGTCCCTACCCAGGGCCCCCAAACCCTAAATTCCTAAATGATAAGAGCACCAGGAGCACCTTTTGTTTGAATGAAGTGACTCTGGGTGCGCTCCTGGGTGGCTCCAGCAAGGGCGCTGGTCACCAGGAGGAGCGAGCCGGGATTGGAAGCTTGGAATTTTCAGCCCCGCCCCCTCATCCTCCATAGAGGGGAGAGAGGCTAGAAATGGAGTTAGTAATTAATCAGGCCGACATGAGGAAGCCTCCATAAAATCCCAATAGTGTGGGGTTTGGGGAGCTTCCAGGTGGGTGAGCCCATTCACACCAGGAGAGTGACGCACCTCAGCTCCCCAGAGACAGAAGCTCCTGTGCTGGGGACCCTTCCCAGACCTTACCCCATGTGTTCCTTCATCTGCCTGTTCATCTGTACCCTTTCTCATATCCTTTAATAAACTTGGTAATGTTAGTAAGTGTTTCTCTGAGCTCTGTGAACCGTTGTAGCAAATTAACTGAACCCGAGGAGGGAGTCATTGGAACTTACTGATCTACAGTCCGGGTGATAATCCGTGCTTGTGACTGACATCTGAAGTGTGTGTGGTGGGAGCAGTCTTATGGGACTGAGCCCTTAACCTGGGGGATCTGATGCTATCTCAGGGTAGTGTCGGAACTGAGTTACATTGTAAGACACCCAGCTAATGTCACAGAATTGCTTCTTGTGGGGAAAAAGCCTCATTTGGTGATCAGAAGTGACCAGAAATGTTCTGTGTGAAAGTAAAGGAGACTCACAGGAAAGAAACACCCAGTAGGGAAGAACTGCAGCTTTCCCCACACGAGGATGGGAACTGGAATGAAGACAAGGATGAAGTTGTCCCGGGAGTTTCAACATCCATGAGACCTCCTAGCACCCTAGCTTTTAGAATGTATTTACTTCCTCACTTCTACAAATTTTCACCTCAACCCTTACATCTCATTTCTGCCACCCACTTGGAGAGTCACAGTATGAACCTGACCATCGCTCTGAACTTCTCGACCACATACACTGTGCGTTTTACTTTTCTTCTCTGGAACCCCAACTCCCACACCTTTGGATTCTGGCATCTCACTGCAACTCCACCTACTCTCTGAGCACAAGCAAATCTTGACCACTTTCACCCCTTTATTTAATTCATCTCTCAATCCCTTCTTGACTTCTAGCCTTCTGTACAGCCGGGAACTCATATGATTGTTAGAATTAGTCTCAATTTATTTGTAATCTTATCTTTGCATGACTCTTACCAATGACCAATGCTGGGTCATTGCTGCAACCTTTCATTTCCATTTTTCAATGTGCAGGTAGAGGTGATAAGATAGGAACACAAATTACTACAGTATGCAGTGGTATCCCCTAAAAATGATAGACACGCCACAGAAATCCATGAACTTATAAAGGCGGGAAGGAGTACAGCTAGTTACAATGATCAGAATGAGCTTCAAATATGTTACGGGAAATATGAATAACTGCTAGGCTCTAAAGAACTTTAAATTTAGGAATGGTGTAATTTATACTCATTTTGCTGATAGTTCTTAGCACTTTTTAGAAAGAATGAATTGTGTGTGTTTCATCTAGTGTGATTCTTTATCCATTATGCAGTATGAGAAACCTTAACAGTGCTCAAATGAGTAAATCTTTAAAAGCGATTTATCATACATATGTGTCTGTAGATGTACACATATATTTGTAGAGTAAACATAGAAAAATCTAAGGTGAATAATACTGCCTTGCTTTATCCATCAGCATATAGTTATTGTTTCATTAGTGATGCGGTGAATGCCCCCTTTGCAATTTAAACTTTTATAGTAAAAATGAAAATATCTTTTGGGGGAAGAAGGAAATTAACTTACTTTTGGCAAAAAGTGGTAGAAATAATAATACTTATATTTCCTGAAGACCTCCCATACGTCAGTCATGTGTTACCTCACTTATTCCCCACCAGGCTCTTTATTATGTATTATCCTCACTTTGTGGATGGGACTCAGAAATTATTTCAGTTTATCAAATCTAAGATGAAATTTTAAAAGACATTTTAAATCTTTGGAATTTGAATGAATCTTACAATTGACAGTGTCTTAGATTTGATAAAATAAGTTGCACTGTTAAGTATTATCTATAATGTTCTCATTAATTGATTATAAATCCTGTACTCTTTTTCCTACTAAATTGCATTATCTTTTCTAACAAAAGCAGACTTTCTGCTCCTTCTCCATATTTTCTTTCTCGTTCCCTTTTACACACACACACACACACACACACACACACACACACTTTCTTCCTTTTCTCTCCTCTCTCTCACAGTCCTTACATCCCAGTCCAAACTAAAAATATCCTGCTCATAAGGTTCTCTGCCTTATGTCAAGCCTTATGCTTATTTTGGGTTTAGCCAAGATGAACTTCATCTGCCTAACTGAGGTATTGGTCTGCTTTCTTCTGCTAAATTGCTCACTTAATATGTTGGTTCAATTCCATTTTACCCACAACCCTTTACAATCAGTTGCCTTGACACTGGGGAAGAAACTAATCTTCTTTCTTATGTATTTGATGAACTGGACAAATTAATTCTGATGATACAATAAAGGTATTTTTATTTTGTGGGGGGGCAAGTTAGCTGCTCTGGGCCAGTGCTTCTCAAACTGGGCACCTCCCCAAATACGTGGTGTTTCTTCTTGGAGCATCAGTTTTACTCGAAGATTTAGCTGAAGGGGAAGTAGAACACTGAAAAATGGAGCTAAAATCTTTGGAATAAATTTTTATCTTAAAGCAAATGTGAAAACATTACAGAATTGAATGAAATAATCTAATGAATTTTTAAGGTAAAACTTCCATGAAATTTTGAGCTGCGGGTGGACTGCCCATGGCAACTTGTGGTTGAAACCGCAGCCTTTGGAGCGAGATGCTAAGTCCGAGCTCCCCCATTTTCTAGCTGTGTGTCCTGGGGCAAGTTGCTTAACCTCCTTGTATCTCAGTTTCTGTTTCCTCGTCCACCAAATAGGATAATATCATCTGCCTCCCAGGGTTAGCATGGGAATAAATGATGTGTCTATGTTAAATGTCAGAACAATGGCTGGAACGTAGATCTCCCACTAATGTTAACTGTTTTCTCATCTTTATTTATACTTAAGACGTCCCAGGGGTAATTCTCTATTCTCTGTTGTTAAGGTGCCTTGGCCCACGAATCTGGGGAGCCTTCCCCAGGATTCTCCCCAGTATGCTGCCCTTGCTTCTCTGCTATGGGTCTTCCGTAATGTTTCAGGAATGCACTGTTCTCTTTTTTCTTTTTTTTTGCAGCACCATGAAAAACAGAGAGTAGCTTTTTTATGTGTTTGGAAAGTGAAGGGGAATGACTTTCAGTTTCACTCATGTTTAAAATGAAGTAACTAATAATTGGGGATAGCAAGCCACAGTTAAGATTTTAGAGGTAGAGATGTGAGAAATTTCAGTCTCGACTCCCTTTGGAATCAAGGCTTGACCCACTGGTCATAAAATACAAAGTCTGTAATTAAAACTTTCTCTAGTGAGATTTGGGATATGTACTGTCTCTTTTGGTTCTGGCTCATCTGGAAATGAAATTTCTGACGCAAATGAGGCTTAAAAAAATCAGTGTCTATTTGGTTAACATTATTTCTGCACTTTGTTTTCCCTTGTCAGCTTTAAAAGGAAAAGAAAAAAAGGAAAACACTCTGCCAAAACTTGGCAGTGGAATTTCAGAGAGCAGAAATTCTCCGCCTCCAATCTTGGAAGTGGCTGCATGGTGAGGGCCCCACAGGCTATTTTTGATGCATTAGAACACCACGTTATACCAAGTTAAGAAAGCTCAGAGTCTGCAATCCACAAGAAAAGACCAGGGTAAGACTACAGGGAGCCTTTCCCCTGTTCTTTCTTGCCTCTTTCAACTGATGTCATGTGTTGGCTCAGTAGTCCAGGAGTGAGAGGGCACACGCTCCAATTTACCTTTGATATAGCTGGACCCCACTCCCCCATCTCCTCTACTGCCAGAGCCTAAACAGTTGGAGGACAGAGGGCAAGGCTGGTTGAAGGGATTGGAGAGCAGGGAGAACGGCCCCATCCTTTGCCAGTCCTCTTGTCCTACCAGTATCTCCTAGGCTTGTGATTTTTGCACCTAGAAATAAAAGCATACAAATATTAAGCATAAGTCATTGTGATGAGTGCTTCTAAGTTGCCATGTGCCAGGCTAAATTCAGTTTGTAGAGCAGATATTATTTCTATATCAAAGGTGAACTTGAGGCTTAGAAGAAGATTGGGTAAATTGTTCAAGGTCACAAGTAGGTCTCAACATTAGGGTTTTCTAGAAAAACAGCGCCTATATATAAGGAATTGGCTCTCATGATTATGCAGGCTGAGAAGTATCATAACAAGAGAGTATCTACCATCTGCAAGGTGGAGTCTGAAGAAAGCTGGACAAGGTCAGGAGAAAATGAGATGGAATGCTCTAGCTCAAGTAGTGAGGCAACAAAAAAGAGGCAAATTCTAGTTTTTGTAGCGCCCACAGGCAACCTGCATGCAGTGACTGGTCAGATGTGAGAGCGCAAAGACCTGACCCCTTGCCTCACCTCAAAACAGTTTTGTAGGGCCACCCCAGCTCCAGGGCTTCCCATGAGATGGGTTGAGGCTCAGCTGCAACTAAGTTAGTCCCACTTTTCTTCCCCTGCCAGTCTTGTTTCCGTTACTCTGTGTAAAGGCCTGTTGCAAAGAGTGCCCCTCAATCATTACAATGTGCAAATCTAACCTTCAACATGGAGGGAATTCCAAAGACATGGCAAAGGGCATGGGTGGAGTATAGGGAAGGATCAGGACCAATAATGTGATTTACTGCAGCTTTGCATTTAACAACTAAACAAAACTGCATCCCAGCTTAGAACAAAAGTGTGTTTTGGAGAAAACACGGAATCTCTGTCTGAAATGTTCAAATGTGTATTTAAACCACTGATATTGGACCTTGAAATATATTTGAGATGTAACTCAGTTTGCAAAGGCAAGTGATCCTGAAGCGTGAGCAAATGTAAACTGTAAATTGAATTAAATTTTAGGTGTGTAGTGGGAGTTTGGTATTCTAAAGGGAAAAATCCAAGGAATTGTTTTATGGATAATCAGTTTCATAACATTGGTGTTTCTGTGTTCAGGTTTTATATATCAGCAGTTTATTTCATTTTTATAAGCCCATTCCATTAAAAAATAATAATTCTATGTGTAAAATTGTAGCATATTGTTTACATTTTTTTAACCTCTGATGCTTAGTGGATCCCCTTTGCATCAATTTTATTTTATTTTTATTGAAGTATAATTGGTATACAATCTTTCTTTGCATCAATTTTAAACTGATGTGAACCTTAGTGGGCTCAAGGGACTCTGGGGAGAGGTACGGTGCAGCATTGATGTAGATGGCACTGTGGATATAATGAAAAGAGCAGATGAGCCTTGAAGGAGAAGAAATCTTTGGCCAGGTAGTGTTTCTGTGGTATAAAAGCAGCACCAGAGTAAGTAAGCAATTTGCTCTGCTCAGGGTGGGTATTGATAAGGTAGCTACAGCAGGAGGACAAGTCAGCAAGGAAATCAAGAGTTCGAATAGCGTTTTGCTTACATGGCTGTTTGTGATCTCCACGGGCGTGAAGGGCAAGCTGGGCCAGAAAGCAGATCAGAACACTGGTGGTTGAGGGACTGGAACTTGCTTCCACCCTCCCTTCTAGAGGGCGATCGCGGCCGGGATAGAAAGGGAACAGATGTTTGCCATCTGCTGTGTCTTTCTCCCCCTCCTCTCCGCTACTGTCCCCAAACCCGAGCCCTTCTTCCTCTTCCATTTACCAAACTGAAGCTTCTAGACACATCAACTGTTGTGGAATGGAACAGGGAGGGTCAGTGAGGGAGCTGGGCCCTTTGATGTGAGCCAGCGCCCACTCCAGTTATATATGAATAATTCCTAGTACAATACTTTAGCTTCAATAAATGGTAGATGCTATTATCATATAAATAGGAAATCTCATTTCCTACCATTTAGATGCTGCAGATGCTTCAAGGTTCAATTAGGATGTTACTTCTTACAAGAATCCTGCTGTAATCTGCTTAGTATGAAGTAATCTCTCCCTCTGTATGTTTCCTAGGGTTGAGGTTACAAAGTACCCAAAGTGGGTGGTTAAAACATCAGGAATTTATTCTCTTCCAGTTCTAAAGTCAAGGTGCCAGCAGAGCCATCCTCTCTCTGTTGGTGCCGGTGGAGAGTACTTCCCTGCGCCTTCTTAGCTTCTGGGGTTCTCAGCGTTGCCCAGTAGCTGTGTCACTCCGGTCTCCATTCTTACATGGACACTGGTCATGGTGATTAGGGCCACCCTAATGGCCTTATTTTAACTTAACTCTATTTGCAAAGACCCATTTCCTAAAATGGTCACATTCTGAGATACTGGGGGTTAGGATTTTAACATACATATTTTTGGGATACAATTTAATTCATAACACCCTCCAATAAGCTAAAACCTAATAGCAATAATCTTATTTTTCTTTGATATCTATCACAATACTAGCTTATTGTACAGTAATTAATTTTTTATCTCTCCTTACGATGCTCCAACTTCAGAATCAATTTCTGATTCACTTTTGTGTCCCTGATAATACCTGCCTGTCAGTAATGGGTTTGACAGTTAATAAATGACTGGGCGCCTTTCCTGACTCTTGACCAATCCATAGACTAGAGCACGCTGTCACCTGCTTGGTATGTGCATTTCTGTGTCCCTTATATTTTGAGCTTTTTGGTTGATTTCTTTTCTTGAGAGAATATAGACCAGGAGGATGAGTTTGGCTGGCTGAAACAGTGTTCACAGCCGGCCTCAGGTGGTTGCATGTTTATGCTTTTGCAAGTGAGCGGTGTGCTTCACTCTACCAGGGAAGCAATCTTGTTTGTCCCCGGTTTGTGACTCTTTTTTCTTCTTTTGCATTTTCAGCATGTCCTTAGTTACAGTTGCTATGCAAGTATTTTAGTGTTTCCTACAGTGCTGAGTGGTGTGATGTCTGGAGCCCTCTTTAGTACAGATTTATGATGATGCCCAAGTCATGGGTTTCATTTGCTAGTTTTCTGGCCTAGTAATTGGTTGTTATTAAAGGAGTGATGTGCATTTATTTTGGTTCCCTGATTTATCACATTGATTTATTTTCTTTTTCATTATTTTTGGAGTGCTCATTATTTTTTAAATACTCAACCCTTTATTTCACAGAATGTAATGGTAGAGCCAGCCCCAACTTCTTGTCATTGAATAAATCAGTAAACAGATATAGTCCCTCTGATACTTTTGTGGTGAAGGGTGATTTAGGCTTGTTAAAATGCTCAAAATCTTTTACAATGTACAGTTTAAGGACTGAGACTGAATAATGAGTGAAGGAGAGAAAACTGGGCTTTCGGAGACTTAGACTCTCGTCTCTAAATATAGAGAAATAGTTCTGAACATATGGCCAAGTTTTTGTGTTGAGATACTTAAACCCTTGTCTGCCCTCATGAAATTGCTACTGTCTTCCACCAAGACTTAGTTTTTTGTTTTGTTTATATAACACATTATAGTTATTTGACATGTAAAGTAAAATGGAATAATAATAATAATAATAATGCATGTCCTACCTATTTGATGGGCTCATTGTAAGAGTCACATGGTTAATGCATATGAAAGTAATTTGTAAGCTATATTGTATTATAAATGTTTCAGATGTCATTGTGCACAACAACAACTGCAACTTAGTAGTCTTGGCTTTGCCATTGACCCGGTTGACCATGGGAAGCAATTTAATTCTGGTGAAGACCTGAATTGACCTCTTTACCAAACCATCTGGGCAAATGCTCAAGGCCATTCTGTAGCATTTTCAAGGTCATAAGGTTTTGTGTGTTATAACCTCCTCTGTTCTTCCTTCATCTTTTATTTTGGTGGGGGGGAAGGGTTAATAAGACTTTAGGTTGAGGAGGAGGAGAAGAAATCTTGGAAATGTTTTTTAAGTTAGTTCTTTAAAGTCTCTCTGATGGATTGGTTGCTGTTTGGCATCTCGGCAAATGCCATTATAATTTTGCTCCTCCAATTTTTTTTTTCTTTTTTTGCATGTACTTTGGTTTAGGGTAGACACTCAGCGACTTTATAGAACACATTAGGGCATGCAAGACTTTGACAATCCTAGGGAAAAGTTCTGAATGTATTAGACTTACAGATTTTAGTTTTTAAAAATCATCTGTTTATTCTAGAGATAGTCCAGAACTTTATGTCATTGCATTTAAACAGAATTCTTTATAAAGAATTTCCTGCCTGACAACTCTAGATATATTTATTATGCAGCTTCTCTTGAAGCATTTTCAGTTTGCTCACTTGGCAAATTTTGTGTATTGAATGCAGTTGGTTCTTAGATACTGACTCATTTTCCAAATACAAGTACTTTTTTTTCCAGTTGATTTTTTCCTGCCAGTATGTCTTGCAACTCTTCTTTAATGTACTGTCAAGAATATGGTCAACTCATCATTAACAGGAAATGGGCTTCTTGCCCACTCTACAAAAGTATAATGAAGTCAGATGTTTTCATTTTAAATGATAGGAAAAAGAGAATGAAAAAAGAATAGTCAGAAACCTAACTAATTTCCAGGTTCAAGACTTTTATTATAAGGAGCTTGAATAAATGAAATACACAGAAACAAAAGGAAAATCTGCAACTTGCATGGTTTTAAGTAGAGTGCTGCAAAATTTCCATTTTACTTTAAATGTCAAGTAGATGTAATGTGAGTCAGTGTAAATAAACCAAAGAACCAAGTCTTCTGGAAGACAGCAGTAGTTTCAAATGGGCAGACAAGTGTTTAAGCATCTCAACATGAAAATTTGGCAATATGCTCAGAACTATTTCTCTATATTTAGATTTTTGGTGCAAATCCCATCTCTGTCTCTAGAAAACCAAACCTGGAAGGCCTACAAAGTCAGTGAAGAGCTCATTTTTCCGAAGTGCCAATTTCAGCCCTAAAAATACCAGAACTTTTAGTTCTACCTGATCAAATAATCACCTTGTCAATCTTTGCAGCCACAGTTGCTCATGGGATCAACCAAAGTGAGCATTTGTTTCAGATGAAGTCCAAAGTTAGTTGAACATATAATATTTAGTGCTTATTTGATTCAGCCACATGGGTAATTGACTCGAAAAATGTTTCATCATAAATTGCCTAGGAAAGGGATAATTTGCTGCTGTTGAATTATCTGGTTACTTGGCTCAATCTTCCACTTCACTTTGGATGTATATGTAGACTTTAGTAGAATAACATTTGATAGGGTACAAATAATATATCCTGATACAGCTTCTCACCACTTGCTACTTCAAAGCTTTCTCTTTAATTTTTAATTTGTGCCAATTTGGAACCAATCTCTTTAAGCCTCAAATTTCTGTGTTTATGGAATTAGTATAATTAATATCTCTAAAATAATATAAGGTTGGTGCAGCAATTAGTGGAATGGTGTAACACACTAAACACAGGGCATATATAAACACTCAGTAAACCTTGACTATTAAAATTTACTGTTAAAGATGTGACCTTGGGAGTCATTAAACCTTTTGCAGTCTAGTTCGTTAATTATAAGACATTTTCTTGATATAAATCTGAAAATGCTCTTAAAATGAATACAGTGCTTCCACATGCAAAGTGAAATATAGAATTTAAGTAGTTACCTTTGTTAATCAAGACATTGTTTTACCTTATTAGTTGATAATATGCTTTGGCGAGAGCTTGATGCACAGATTCATTTTGCTTGGATATTATTTTTATTACCACTTTGCTATTTTGGGGGATATTCTCTATCTACATGCTGTGATAAGAATTTGGGTGCAAATATTTTATTTGCGAGGTCATCTCAGCAAGCATGATCTGGAAGTGGGAGGACACGACTGACAAGAAAAGAATGCCATTAAAGGGTACCTAGGTAAGCAAGTGACTCTAGTGAGCAGGTGAGCACAATTCCACTAGAGTCCCTCTGTGAGACTTCAACACCTGTGGGCTTTGAGCAACCTCATCCATTTAGCGAAGCTCTGTGCAGATCTTATCACTTTCTATAAATGTTACACATGAAAAAGTTTGGGAAGCATTGCTATAAAGAATGATTGAGATAAATGTTAAGGTCTACTCTGGAGAAAGGAAGAACTGAGTTAAGCAGTGGGTTCAGAGGGTGCGATGTCAGAAGTTGGAGGTTTATGGTGTTTGTATACTTGGAAAACTAAAAAAAGAGTAATTCAGGTAAAAACAGTGTCAATCAGTGGAAAACACAGGGAGGCATATAAAAGTTTCTATCAGAGCTGTCTCAAGGTGAAACGAACTGCTTTTGAAAGGCAGTACATTGTTTCATCTAATTCTGGTAACAGTCATGTGGATTGGGATGTTTACTTTTTCCCTCAGCTCCCAACCAAACTATTTTATAGATGAGAAGATAGAAGTTTCATGGGTTTTTGTTATTCACCCATGGTCACAAAGTTAGTAACTGCAACTGTGAAGATTAGAACATGGATTTATTCCATGTTGGAGCCCATTCTCTTTTCTTCATTTCAGACTAAACTTGTTCTCTCTTCTAGGAAGTGTTCAAGCAGAGACTGGTCACTACTTGGAAATTTAGAAGGGATTCCAGTACTGTGGTAAAGAACCACATGACTTTCAAGGTTTCTGCCATTTAATAACTCCAAAATGCTGTGAAATAGGTGCCATTTATGTTACAATACAAAAAAGAAAGGAAGACCAGCCTTGAAAATTCCCTGAACAGACAAAACTAGTTTAGTTATACAAACAAAGCTTAATTTAGCTTGTTTTGCAAGACTAATATGACCTGGGTCATTTCTTGCTTATGCCTCTGGAAATCATAAACAAAACTTAAACTGTTTTCCAAGATTGATATGAGGTAACCATTGACTAATTCCCATTCAGAAAATTCCAATATTATAAACAATCTGTCTGAAGAACAGCCAGTTCTTTCTCATTATAGGATGCTTTATGACAACATGTCCCTGAGCCTCATTCCAGTTTTGGTTTGAGTGTGCCTGCTTTACAAACTGTCTTTTTGAAGTGTGCATAATAAACTTACACTAATTACTGCTTCAATGATCCTTTGGTTTTATCAATGTTGAACTTTTAACATATAATGGTGTCAGAAGTGGGATCCAAAAATGACCAGTCTACCCCATGACTGAGGCTGATGATCAAACAGATGCTAGTACCCATAGAGCTTACTCTTTTCTCATGAACCCTGAAATTTGGATGTAAGTCTCTCTTGTATCTTTGAGCTCTCTGATTTTATTGGGCATTCTGTATTGTATTTGTAAGTCACCCTATTCTGTTCAAAAGAGGGAAAAATGTGTAATTGTATTTTTGGAACAGCTATTGGGAAACAGGGCCCCTAATAGTTCAGTTATCTTAGGGAATCTAAATGCAAAGATAGAGTCCACCTGTTCTAAAATTCTCTCCACTTACTTCAAAAACTGTCCATGTATGTCCATGATGGACCAGCATCTTGTGCCTTTTGGAAAATGGTGAACTTTTGGACTGGTAGTGGCCACTTTGGGGAAACTATAAATTAGATAAGTCCACCTTAGGGGCACCCTTAAAAGAGAGGATTCCAAATTTGGAGACAGTGGAATATATTCTTTGATTGGTATAAAGAAGCTTTTAAAAGATGAAATAACATTAAAAGCAGCTCTTAAAGGTTCCTTACAGCATGCAAATAAAAAATCTTTAGTAAAACTCTTTGGTCGTTTGAGCAGGTAACCTTAACTTAGTTCATCTGCCAAAAACATAGTTTGGATCCAACTATTATTTTGAGTGTTTTACCTGAGATATGGCTAAAATTTTTAAAACAAAAGTTATTAGATCTCTGTTTGTGTTGCCTGTATGTTTATGCATATATGTTGTAGCTATATGATATTTTTCCACCTCTGGATGATATTGCCAAAATTAATTTGTAAAGAGCTCTCTTTAATAGGATTAAAGAAAACCAAGCATTTGTATAAAGCAATTATAGTCTCATAAATACAGCAACTAACCCAAATGTTTTCCAAGTTCACATGATACAGTATAATCTTTGATAAACTATTCATGTTTGTTAGTTTAATAAAAGCAGGTATGTCTTCAAAATATGTTCATAAGAAAAATAACTTAAAACGATGACTCGCTGTTTGATGTCTAATCTAAACATAATTGTTAAAAACAAGTAATTTAAATAAATGTATATATGTTAAAAGGTTATACTAAATCAAACTAAATAATGCACATTTATTGAATATTTAAATCATTTTCAAACATTAAATGCTATTTGGTTTTTTTGCTTTTTAATTTTTTTATAGAGACAAAAAATATTTGGGCCTAGTAAGATTTTGTAGCACACTGAAAAATTGACAATGAGGAAGAATATGCTTCTAGAAATTATGAAATGTACTTATAAATATACCAGTCCACAATTGCTTACTTCTTAGTTTTCACTGAGGATTCTAAGGGGCCTAAGAATTATAATTAATATATGGAATTAGAACTACTGAAATAATCAGGGTGAAAGAAAATGATCTTATATGAAAAGTAGCTAAAGAAAAAATGTGTTTTTTGGGTAAGGAAAAATATGAAGGACATGTATCTTTGGTTTTTTTTTGGTAAGGGGAAAACAAAAGGAAAGTAATTTTGTCCTAAAGCAAAATGATTGTTCAAGAATAAGAAAGGAGAAAGATAGGACAAAACCTAAATGGGTATAGAAAGTTAGGAAAGTTTCTGGAAAATGAGTCTTGGTAAAGTAATTTTATATGTGGTTAAGCTAAGGTAGGAATGGATTTAACTTAAAAAGAAAAGAAGAATTTAGATGTCAAAAGTACACCAGTGCAAAATTAGAATTTGGTTTTCTCTCTGTTAAAAGGACATTTTTTTTTTTAGATTAGTGGTCTGCTCCTAATAAAGTGTAAAGAAAGTTTCTTTCCTTTAAAATAATTTGCTTAAGAAACAAAAATTGTGTGTCTTATGAAAATAATTTCCTGTGTTTTCGTATCAGGCCTTTGATTACTTCTAAAAAAGCATGAGTCTTTTCAATACTAAAGAGTTAAGGTTTTTTTTTTATAATCATGTAACTTTCTGTATTTGCCTTTGAAATATTTAATTGGAATCTCCAAGGAGATTCATGGAAAAGAAGCTGACAAATACTCTAATATGCATGTTTCTGATAACTTTACTATCATAACATTGAACTGATAAGAATTTCGAAAACTTTAATGGAAAACTGATTGATTTGTAAAGCTGCTAACCCAAGATCAGGGAAAATAATAATTAATTATGTAAGACTGACTAGATTGATGAAGATAATTATACTTTTTATGACTTCAGTTAAAACATTACTAGTTCTTCAATGTTTTGTTTTCAAATTTAAAGGGCCCCTATTTCTCCTCTTTTTAGCTATCTGTAGCTTATAGCAATTTTGTAAAGTATATCTTTGCAATAAAGATTGAACCATTTATCTTTTTCTCCCTACCTGATCCCTCCAGAATTCAGAAGCTCTTATTAGATATTCTTATTTTTCATGACAATGTATGTGTTTGCGTAAGTTCAGTAAGTATCAGTTATCCTTGTAACAGGACACAATTGAACGAGTCCTTGGCTTAGCTTCCTAGCCCCACAAGGCTTTTGAATGTCCAATCTGAGATTCCTTATGAAAAGTTCAAGCAAAGCAAATCTAAAAGATAGAAAAATATGGTCATTCACTAGTTCATATAAAAATATTGTCAATCACTAGTCTTACTGTGGTTAGTTTTGATAGAAATGGGGTGATTATAGAGAGAAAGATTGTTTCAGTAATACATCTTTGTGGATATCAGATGCTAGTGCTACAAATTGTGTTTTATATTTTGTTTTCTTCCTGTAAACTAGACTAGATCCTGAATTGTTCGAGTTTCCTCCCATATTTGGCTAGAACTCTCCACACTAACATTTCCATTTCCTTTCACTCTTTTGACTTGGAATCACTCTGCAACTAAAATTGTCCTTTTCTGGAAGCCAGGCAAGCTAAAGCTGGACAACTTGATATGAACTTCAGAGAGATCACTGCAACAGCTCATGTGTGGACAGTCTTCATGCCTGTTGGTATGTTGTAGCCCATAAAGATCACCAGAGACATTCACGCTGCAAACCAGGAAAATCTGTTAGATTGACCCTGCTTTCCCTCACTCCATCTGAAGATGCTTAGAACACAACACTGAGAAATCTTAACTAGCTGCTCTTCAAACTCAGGAACTGAATTTCCAGTGTGCTCAAACTATTAACCTGTTTTTCTTTTGTTTCCACAAAAATGCCTTTCCTTAAGTTACTTATTGCTTTCATCATGTAGAGGCTTAATTTAGGTAGAAGCTCACCTACACCACCACCTCCTGAGATGAAACATTCTCATATTCATGCTATCCTAGGTAATCATCAGGATACATGTTTGCTAATATGTCATATGTGCCAGTGTAAATAACTTGTAAAAACTTAAAAAAATTTCAATTATAGACCCATTTATTTAGTTGATTAAATCTTGACTCCTTGGAATCTCTGCTCTGGGAAATTTTGCAAGCCTTCTATTTTTTCTCCTTACAGCTACCATACTAACCTCTCTGGTGCTTTGTATACTCTTGGGGGTTTTAAGTGCCTGTCGGTAGCCGCTCACATGCTGATGGTACCCATCAGCATCAGAGAACAGGATGAAATCAACAATACCACGTAACTAATGAAAACGGTGACTACATGGGCCTCTGGTCTGACAACTCAGCTAATGGAAACAGCGAATTTGGATTCTTCAGCTTGACTGCATCAGTGGGGTAAGTGAGAATAATGTTATCCTGTTGCTCATACTGTCAGACTGCTGAGAGAATGACCAAAAGACGCGAATTATTAAAATCAAAACCAAATGGAGACCAGCCTTAAAAATTCCTTGAGCAGACCAAAACCAGTTTAGTCACACAAAGCTTAATTTCGTTTATTTTGCATCGGTTACTTGCTGTGGATCATTTCTTGATTGTGCCTCTGGAAATCGTAAAGCCAAACTTAAACAGTTTCCCAAGGTTGATAGAGGTACCCACTAACCAATTACCTACTAAGAAAATTCCAATATTATAACCATTCACTGTGAAGAATAAACCATCACTGCTTTCTCACTATATAAGCTGTTTTATGAAAACATACCCTCGAGCCTCATTCCATTTTTGGGTTGAGTGTTCCTGGTGTGCAACCTGTCTCCCTTTCTGGTGTGTGCACAGTAAACTTACAAATTACTACTTCAGTGAGTCATTGGTTTTACTTGTCATTTCTGAACTTTTGATATATGCTAAGACCTCAATACTTTCTTTAAGAATTGTTTATTTCTAAAATTAAGAATTTAAGTTTCTATTTTGGTGGACATTATTTTTGAATTGCCTTTGATTTGATACTAATAAAAACAGCTTGTTCCTTGTTAAGGCATTTATTATTCGTGTCTCTCTTTAACTAAACTGGGATATGCTGTTTGAATCAATAATAGATTAGGAAACCAGAGGTGATTAAAAATAATCAAGAAAAAAGTTATAAGTGAAAGGCTAAATAAAGGTCAATGGAAACAAATGAAGTCTAGATATTGAAAATGCAGAACAGATTGCACTTAAGTGTGTTGCGGAAATGATGTAGAGGCACAGCAGAATGAAGTCTGTTGGGAAAGAGGTCGTTGAGCGGCAGGAGTTGAGCCTGTGGGAGCAGGAAGGAGCACACTCGTTTTGAATTACTCAGTGTTGGTTGGGCTTTAAGAGAATAATAGCTCTTGTTTCTGGCTTTGCGGTGTAAGTGAGATTTAGAAGAGCCCTACGAATATTGTTAAAGGTGAGTGTGTCTAGAACGTTCTACAAATTATGCATTTATCTTAGTCTCCTGCGGTAGGGAGGGGAGGCATCTGCTGGCTCACATTCTCTTTCATTTTAAACTATTACTGTTTGCTTCCAATCAGGAATGCAGCCAGATGCCGCTAGGTGGTGCTCAAATTACCCTATAGAATTCTGTCACCTCTAGAAGGATATAGGATATAAAATGTTAGAATCAAAAGGCAGAACATATTCTACAATTTGAGCCTCAATTCAGGGAGATTTCATATACTGAGTTATCAGGGTTTTTACAAAAATCATGTGTTATCAAAATGTCTATGCATAAAAGGTGAAAAAAAAGTGCTGCCTCAGAGTAAAAGGTTAACATTTTTGGCAGAAAGCAGATTTCATTCAATACTTTTTCTATTACATTTTAAGAAGAATTCTAACACACTAGGTTATGGGGTATTTATGAGGGTTTTCATTTATATTATTATGTATCTTTTGGCTATCAACACTGTTAAGAAGTTGTTTTTCCACATTTATTTGTAGACTTTCAATATCATCTCCTAAGTGGATAAGATGTGAATCAATAATTCTGCCAAAAATAAGCAGTCAGGGGAAAAGGGGAGAAAGAAGCAAGCAGAATGAAGTGTCAGTCGGTGAGAAAGCAAGCCTAGAGTTGAAAGTAGATGGTTTCATATTATCTCAGGCACAATCTTGCAATAATTTCTCCCCATACCCAGTCCTGCATCAATCTAAATACTGCTTTCTCCTACACTTGGACTGCCGGGCTGCTAGACAAACATCTCATAACAGGGCAGTTTGGTGCTATTACGAAGTGAAGGTTTGGACAGTGGGCTGAAGGTTCTGGAAGGACGGTAACTTGAAAGTATTCATCCTTGCTTTCACTGCCAGCCTAACACAGCTCTCTCTCCTGAGCTACTGCGTTCCTGGGTCTGAGGGTGCTGGTTCTGTTGGATTCCTCATGAAGAAGCAAACTGGGCTTTCTCCCAGGGGCCAACGGGAGCCCCCCTTAAAAGTAACAAAAATGTCCATAGCGATAGTGTTCATAATAGCACAAGTTGAAAATCCCCCCATAGATCAATTAGTTGCAAAATGAATGCATCAGCTGTGCTATATTTGTACAGTGGCATATCATAAATACAGCTGTGGCAAAGAAGGAACTAGAGCTCATGTTTCCACATGAGTACAAGCAAGTAGCAGTAGTATCCTAGAATGTTACATAGTGAATAAAAAGTTAAAAATGGTGAAACAATACTGTATATACATACGTATATGTAGTAAAAAATAAAGGGAAGTTACTTTTAGGGAGGGAAATGCATGTGGAGGAAGACATCCAGGGGGCTTCAGTTATAACTGTAATATCTTCATTTGTGAGCTCAGTGGTGGGTGAAGACATGATCATTACAATATAATGTATATGTCTTTGCATGTCTCAAATAAAAGAAGAACAGGAGAGGAGAAGAGGAGGATGAAGAGGAAAAGAAGGACCAAAAGAAAGGAGAACAGGAGAGGGAGAGGACGCTTGGATGGGAAGGAGCGAGCTGGTGGGTTCCAGGCGGCATGTGGTTTTAGGCAAAAAGTCACCATCACAGATACTCATTACAGAAAGAAGGAACATGGAGAGAAGGAGTCTGAGCTCAGAGTGTGTAACCTCTAGGGAAATCAGGTGGAATAGAAAGGATCGGAAGGCCCTCTTTCAAATGGAGCAGATCCAGTCATTCATTCATTCACACATACCTGTCAACCATATGTGCTCTGCACTAGTCCAGGACATACCAGTGGACAAAACAGCCAAAAATCTGCCCTCATGGAGTCAAAGTGTCTAGCAGGTAAATCCTTTCTGTATCCAACCTTGTTTGCATGTGAACTTCCCAGCTCGGTACCTAAGGAAGGAGAGATTTATTCACTCTATACATGTGTATTGAGCACGTCATAGATGGCCAGCGTAGCTGGATGCTGGGAATATGGAATGGATCCTTGCCTTCAACGAGCTCCCAGCCCACTGTGGAGAGCTAGATATGCACTTAGATATTTGCAGTTCACGGTGTTGGAGGAATGCACATGGTAACTTGGGGACCCAGGGGAGTGCTGGGAGTCTGCCTCTGCTTGAAAATATAGCTGATGATCTTGGAGAACCTGATGGGAATTCAGTCAGTGTCAGTTCATTAGCATGAATGAAAGATTCTGCCTGTGAGGCACGTAGCTAAGGTTGGCTGTGTGCTCCAAGGCACTGGGAAGAGTCTGTTACCCCAAATCTTCACCCTTCCCCTTGTGTCTGCTCTCCTAGCCCTAGTGTCTCTTTTGAAATGTACTCCCCTGCCTCAATACATTTTTATTATTTTAAATAACAAGCTACTATATCAAAAGATAGTTTATAGGTAAATTCCTTATAATCTGGTTTGTAACTTTAATGTTTTGACAAGAGCTATGTCCCAAAGTGTCTTGTTGAAAATGAAAGCAACACAAATATCTGTGACATTCTGAGAAATACAATATAATACAAAATATGGACATGATGTGTCTGTGTTCTTATTTTTTTAATTTTCTTCATATTTTCCAAGGTTTGAAGAGTATTATAGGGAAAAGAGGAGGGAAGAGTGGCTCCACTCCATGAAGGAGATGGGAAGGGGTGTCTGGCACTTGAATTAAAGGGGGCTAGTTAGGAGCCAAGCTACAGACCAGGAGACCTCTTCCATCAACATTGCTCTGGCCCTGTGTGGTGTAATCTTCCCCACCCCCTTTCACCCCTGAGTGATTGTGGGAGCAGATGTGTATTGATACAATGAAGCAAATAAGAAAAAAAAGACTGTATGTATTCATTAAGTGATTTTTGTTTTTGTGCTTACAACTTGGTAGGTGTGTGCCAGGCACTGGGGCATGGCCTGAAGCATCTATTAAAGAGAGGTTGTGATTGCCTGCAGTGTTTGTTATGTTACCCAAAGGAGTGAAATTATGGTCTTTGAAACCTAAAGCTAACTCACTGAAGGCATGGTACTAGAGGTATGGCTTTCCAAATGGTTTAAGATCATGTTTCCAAGGCCTGTCTTAAGAGGGACTTGAGCTTGTAAAGGTTTTATATGGGGAAAATTGCACATTAGAGCTGGAAAATCTTACTGCTTACTTTACTGGTCTCTCTCTCTCTCTTTTCTTTTTTAACTTCGAAAACTGCATTCCCTCAGTCTGAGAAGAAAAGGAAATTCCTGCTTCATCCTTTTTCAATTCCCAGGTGGCTTAATTTGCTTTTAAGCTGTAGGGAAATAGCTTGGAGAACCACCAAAGAAGTTTATCTCAGCGTATTGAACACAGAACCTTTTGTGGGTAGCTGCAGTGCCGTTGGGAGAAATTCCAGGAATTCGTGACTGCTGGATCAATCTACCCCAAGCAGGATGCAGTCACTTCCTTTCTGGAGAACTATACGATCAGGTTGAGGCAAGTTTCTCTCTGCATGTAGGGACTTAGAGGAAGGTGGGGTGGGATGGGCTAGAGGGGAGATAATGAATATAGTGAATGAAATTAGTGTCATTCAAAAAATGTTTGAGGCCCTACTACATGCCAGCACCATGCCAGGCTCCAAAGAGGAAAATAAACAGAACTCCTGTCCTCAAGGAGCTCACAGACAAGTGGGTGAAGCAGACCAGTGTATGGTAAATGCTACAAGCAGACCAGGCATGGTACTATGGCGGGATGGCTCGAGTGGCTGTTAGGGAAGGCCTGCGCTGAATCCCCAGGGAGCAGTCCTTAACCAGGCGCAGACTTGGGGAAAGGGCTTTCCACACTGAGGGCATCCTACATGCATGAGGTACTTGAGGACCAGTAAGTGGTTCAGGATGCCTAGAAGGAAAGAGAGCAGGAGATGAGGCTGAAGAGAGAGGCCGAGCCAGGTATCCTGAGGCTCCTCATGCGTCATGCCAAGAAGTCTGGCCAGCCTCCTCAATACTCCACAGACATACTGAAGGATCTTAAGT